CGCCTTGGCTCAACCACCCCCCGTCACCAGCCACATCAGGTGAGGCTAACACCGGCAGGGCAGGTGACCGGGAACCCTCCATAGGGGAGGATACGGTTGGTCCTAAGAAAGCGTTTGAGGGAGTTTAGGATGGCTTTTTCGCTTGGGGAGGGAACTCCCAGTTTTATACAGAAAAAGTACCTTTGGATCTAGTCTTTCTCCAGTGGATCTTATTTGGGGCTAAAGGCAATTCCTGAATTACGGAGAAAGGTGGGATTCCAGCTGGACACAGTTGAAGTCCTAGAGACACTGTGCTATGCCAGAAATTAAGGATGCTATGGAATATACAGCTACTCTTTGATTCAGAGGCTATTGAATGTTGGCTGTCAGAAGAAATTTGGCAGCAGGTTCTTCCACTCTGGGGGGTTTGCAGATGAGGCTGGATTGCAACGTCCATCATCCAGAGTGCAAAGGTTTGCTGGCAATCAGTGACAAAGACCACATATCTGAATGCCCCAGGGTCAGAGCAAAGCTCACAATCTGCTTTTCTTTCTTTCCTGTTCATAGTATTATAAAGATATCTTTCATTCTTCCCACCCATCCCCTTTGTACTGAAAGACACAGAACACAAACCTAAATAATTTCAGTATTGGTGGGGGTGGTAGTAGTAAGTAAGTAGTGGTAGTAGTCCTGATCCTTCTTGCAATGTGGAGAAGGTGGTTTCCGTGGAATGCAGCATGTAGGGAAGTCAAGTTGATTTAATCCTGGCTTCCCCAGGTGTACCATCTCTCTGTGCACAGTAATTGCCAGCAGGGGAAAAAAAAAATCTCTCAGTCATGCCAATGGGAGTGTTTTATAAAACACGCACTGCGATATCAGAGGGGGTGATTGTCATCCAGATCGTAGCAGGAGAGAGAAGAGTAAACCTGCTTCGATGCACCGTGATCTTGATGATCTTAGTGAGACTCCAGGATGACCATTGGAAGAATGTAAAAATGTATGTAACAGCCAGCCAAACAGCTCTAAACCCTTCCTGGTCCCCCACCCCCACCCCAAATCAGGCGTGGATAATTCATGAGACATATGTAGCCCTTTGGGACCCTTTTGAGAGGCCCCAGAACATTCCCAGGGATCCCCTGGATTTTGGTAAGCCTGATTTTTCAGACTGGTGTGTGTGTGTGCAGTTAGGGGGTGGTTGGGAGAATTTAAGGGGTAAAATGAGAGGCTTAAGCTCACAGAGGTTAAGGCCCTTTCTTTACCTTCTCAAACCACTGAAACCACTTTCCCTCCAAAAGAGACTGATTTTTCCCAAGAGGCCATACGTCCTTTAGTTTTCTGCATGATTTTTCATCTGCCCCATCAGTTTGAATCTCCCTTGCAGGCTAATTGTTAATGCCACTTTCTGTTTGATCCCAAGCCTTGTATTCAGCCTTTTTCTTGCCTTGGATCAGCCTCTGTGCCTTTGTAATGTGGGGTTTCCAGGGCATGAAAAATGCCCGGGAGAAGCCAGTTATTATGTCCTCTGAAGGTGCTGCACGGCCACTTCACAGCAGAGTTCTGGGCTTTTATCTTCCTCAGTTGCAGCTGCTTCAAAAATTAATTTTCCCATTCATGAGCAGGACATCACTCAGCCCTTTGAGGTGGGCAAGGTCAAAAAACAGGCATAGCAGGGATTCCAGGAATGATAATAACAAGAATTATTGTTGTAAGATAGAAGAACAACATATTGAAAGCCTACCAGAGTTTCTCTCTACTCCGTCTTATGCCCAACAAAAAAACTGAGCTTCTTTCTTGGGATATCTTCTTTCTCAAGACCGAGAAATATTTTCTGAAAGTCCCCCTTTCATGGTTTGCTCATTCCTTCCCCATTCCCAAGGTCAGGTCTACATTTCTTCACAACTCCTAGGACCAAAATCCCTCTATCCAAATCTCTCTCACATAACACACACACACACACACACACACACACACACACACACAAAGAGCAACGCTTTGGGCCAAAGCCAGTAGATCGGCTTGTCTTTCTGTTGCAAGAGATTCCCCACTTCTTTGGAAGCTCTAATTTTTTAAAATAAAAACATTCCTTGAAGGTATAACCAACATGGTCCCCCAGCATCTGTGATGCTCCTCACATGCTGCCATGGGTTCCCATTATCAATTTGAATGAAAAGACAGGAAATGGTTGATTTTTTTGTTTTGTTTTGAGATCTCAGGAGGGAATGTCAAATTCTTGCAAGGCAGGAGTTCATGTAAGTGTCAGCCCTATCGGGTAGACCAGACTAAGAAACAGACACCATGTAGGTCTAAAGCTACTTTTATTAGAACAGCTCTAGTAACAGCATCTTGCACATCTGGATGTGTTTCCCCTCTTCCCTCTTTTATGTTCATGTGAATGGGGGAAGGGTGTGACGTCTGATGTGTTTATGTAAATCTCTTTCTTGGAATGGGCTCAAGTCATGTTTATCTGATTGTTGCTTGGTAATGGTTCCATCAAGGTCATCCTCTATACTCTCTGCAGTAAGGTCTCATTGGTGAGGTTGCCAAAATCTTGTGGCAGTTGGCAATATCCTGCTTGCTCTCATTTTTTTCACACTGGCATGATTGCTAAGACCTGAAATACATGCACAGTATCCCGGTGCTCTGACTGCTCTCCCCTTTGAGGCAAACTCTCAGTATCAGATGCTGACAGGAGAAGCTACTGGGGGTACCATGCCTGAGCTGCAAACATCTGCTCAGCCAGCAGATGGCAGCAAAGAGATGCCCAAAGCTCTAATTCTGATTGCTGTCTTCTAGGAAACGACCAGATTTGCGCATGCCTGAATGGTAATCCAAGGGGGAGGCAGAAAGGTGTGGAGGGGCATTACTTTTTTGTTAACTTGTGGCCTTGCTGGAGGCATCTGGCTGAGCAATGTTAGCAGTAGGGCAGTGGCTTAGAGGATTTGCTCCTGCTGGGCTGTTTTTAATTTCAACCTATCATTGCATCCGTTGTGGCAATTTGGAGACATCCAACTTGCTTTTCTTCCTGTTAATCTTCTATAGCATACTTAAATCCAGCTGCAGACCTTTCTTCCCACCCTCCTCCAGGGAGGTTTGCCCTGGAGTGGGTGGGAAGATTGCCTACAGATGATCTTGTTTTCTGAAAAGATGCCCCCGTCATCCTAGCTGACTGCAAAATGTAGCTGATGGTAGCCTGTTACAAAACCAGCCAGGAGCTAGGAATTGTTTTATATCTCTACCTATCTATCTATCATCTATCTATATCTTAATGTGATTTGCTTGGATATCTCTTCTATACAGAACTGTGAGCCCGGAGCTCAAGTCATACGCTTTAGGAGTTCTCTTCCTTCTCCTACGATTGTTAGGTGAGTGAAATTCATGCTTCCTATTGCTTCGCTCTGCTGCCTCCAGAGAAGCAAGGACTCGTGATGAGAGATGGACCTGGATTATGAACCCAGATTAGGTCCAGTTGGGGACTTGAGCAGCCTTCTCCAACCGAGTGTCCTCCAAATGTTTTGAGTTAAATCATGAATGGGCCGTTTTTTTGCAGTGGTTGGTTCCTCCCCTTGGTGCAAGTTCTGTAGAAATCAATTCTGTTTCAGTATGATGTCAGTTCATGCACTTAAATTCAGTTAACCTATCCTGAATTAACCCATTTTCTGGATTTGCACAATAGACCGAACTATAAAGTAATCAAACAGGTTACATTCTCATGACACATTATGCTATTGAAAAACTAACCAAACTTAACCACTAACCAAATTTCACATGTTATACACATTCAAACACTAGGTCTGTAACGAACTATGTCTGTCCTTAGTGCTTTCCTGTCAGATCTATAGGAACTTGGTTTCAACAGTGGTGTAATGTCAGATGTTTCCAGATCAGCATCATTGCTCTTAGCTTTGATGCCTACCTCTTATTTCCATTATAAGTGGTGGCCTGCCTCTTAACGTCACTTGCTGGAGAATAAGAGTGAGATGTTTCTGCTTTGGAGTCCTCCTTTTGGTCTTCTAGAAGTCATCTACTGTATTAGGCTTTTGGTAGAACAGAATGGTAGATTGCGAGAAATCTTTGATCCAGCAGATGTTCCTCTTATGTCTGTAGAGAGTCTAGATGTTTCAGAGAATACTGCTGATATAAAACTATCTCCTTCTACCTTCACAGGCTTTATCCCACCTCCCCTGATCTTTGGAGCAGGAATTGATTCCACCTGTCTTTTCTGGAGCACCTTCTGTGGTGAACAAGGAGCATGCGCCCTGTATGACAATGTTGTCTATAGGCACCTGTATGTGAGCATCGCTATTACCCTGAAGTCATTTGCATTCCTCCTGTACACCACTACCTGGTGGTGCCTGAGGAAAAACTATAAGAAATACATCAAGAACCATGAAGGTGGACTCAACACTAGTGAGTTCTTTGCCTCCACTTTGACCCTGGACAACCCAGGACGAGACCCCCTTGGCCAGAATCCCTCCCATAGGACAAAATTTATCTACAACCTTGAAGACCATGAGTGGTGTGAAAACATGGAATCTGTTTTATAGTTATTAGAAAGGTGGATTGCTAACCCAAAGGTCCTTTTGAAAGAAAGATGTATATGAAATATGTAATATAATATACAAAGATGTTTCGGAAAGTACAAGCAAAACAGAGTCCTCAGCTATTTCAAAATCTATCATGACGTTCCAGGAGCTTCACATGAGGAAGAGGACATTGGTCCTTTTCTCAAAAGCAGATGAAACAAGAAGAGGGGATAAAGGATATTTAAAGACAAATCTGGAGTGAGAAATGGAGATGCAAATTGGATCATCGATGTATCCAATGCCTTGGGCGGAGACACAACAGGTGGGCAAAGCTGCCAGTGTTTGGGGACCTGGTATTTCATTGGAGAGCAGAGCAGATGTCTGTCCTTGGGTGTGAAGGCAAACCAAGGAAAAACAATTCCCAATATGGGGGACAGAATAGAAGTAAGCCACAGCTGTTCCCAAAAATAAGTGCTATTTGAAACTTAAGCACCATTGGAGTAACCTTTGCAATACACGCTTAAAAGATGTCAACGAGGGTGCTATGCAGTCACAGCTTTCTCCTAATGCTCTCCATCTCTTTCTCTCTCACATCCAAGAGGAAGCCCTGTCAGAACTGCTTCACCAGTATTGTCTCCAGCTGCAGTTCCAAAAGACCATCCTTGACAGCTGTTGAAATGGGCGAACCAGTAGACGTGTCTGGTACAAGCCATGATGATATCAAGTTGACATCCCGTGCTGAATAAGAGTTAGATAGTTGCATCAGTGGCACGTGTCATCGTTTGGATGCCATTGTGACTTGTACCCAACACTAATGCAACCACAACATTACAATTCTTAAGGCACCAGCACTGCTTTTCTTAACTATTTTGGGGTCTAGTCCATTTTGGTATGGGAAGTGGGATGGGACATTGTGTGTGTGTTTGCGTGTGTGTGTGCCGTTGTGAGGGACAGAACACAGGATGACTCTCACCAGTCTGTAACCTTTTCAACTTTTAGCAGGATGGAAATGGTGTAAGGTCCTAATGACCAACGTTGCCGTTGAAAATGGGCAGAGGAGGTCTGGCTGAGCCATCACTGCCTTTTAAACATCTGTACATTTTTCGAGTTTTGTGTCAGTCCTGAAAAAAAAAAACATTTTCAGTACACTTCCATTGGAATCAGAATATTGTGATCAAAGAGAGAAAGAGAAGTTTTAAGTCACCCGTTTTGCTCCTGAAAGCTGGTCATCCTCCCCAATTAAAAAAAATGACTGCAAAACATTCGACTCCCTCCATTGGAAGCTTCAAAAGGGTTCTGACCCGAGGAAAAATGAACAAGGTGATAAATATATGTGCCTTTAAAAAAAAAAGTTTGCTTTACAAGTAAGAGAAGGCAGCCTACCTGCTAAGAAGGGGATGTAGTGTTTACATTGTAGTGCTGGAGCAAAATCTCATTCCCCTTTCATTATCTCATTGTTTCATTCAGTTGTGAGTAGCAAAACCGAAAAGCTCTTTGGACAGTTTGGAGTAAAAAGTAAACTTCAGCATTTCAAGACATCACGAAACATACATTAATTGTCTCTACCTTAAACGTTTAAATAGCACTTTCCTTTGGCTAAAACAAGAGAGAATTTCCTGAGATGGTTGACTGCCCCCTGCTGTTACAATCACCCAGAATGCCCTCTGCGGGGCTCCAGACCAGACAAGGCATTCTGGGAAAAAGAACAGCAGCTAGCTGGCTGCCTTGGAATGGGTGCTCTTTCATGTTGCCAAACAGGGAGCCTGCTTTCCAAATGCGGAAAAGCAAACTTTTTTATATGTCCTATTGTATTGAGGCATGCCTCCCATATGAGTTGTGCATCTGAAAACCACATTGCATGCAAAGGATTGTTGGCACTTTATATAGAACATCACTTCTTCGCCCCCCATATCTGTATTTAGCCATGATCATCAGTGGCAAATCCCAATTCTGGGCTAATCCTCTCATTCTCTTCCCCCTGCCTTTGTCACACCCTTGCTAATTCTGAATATTTTCTGCTTCTTCCCCCTTGGATCTGCAGTAAAGGCATGTTCAGCGTAAAGGAGGATTCAGAGATTTATAGTTTAATACTGGGGAAGGCATCAATCTGAAAGGGCCCAAATTGGCTTTGTGCCTTTTTTTCCTATCACTCTTGATTAATATTTTCTCTTCCATTCTTCGACACTGAAATTCGTTTTTCTTTTTAAAGGACGCTGAAAAAGAAACATGATGAAGTCAGAGAAGGATTGGCTGAGCTTATTTTTACAGATGTTTGATCTGTTTTTATTTATTTTCTTATGCTGAGTTGGATTTTTGAGGCTTTGCTGAACGGGGTGTTAGGAGCTAAATGTATTTTGGTTTCAACAGTGATCCTTGAATTTGACACGCACAGTGACTATGTCCAAATGCAGTTCTTCAACCTTGTTCATCTGTCTTGGCTCATGCTGACAGATGACGGTTAAAAAATCCACAAGGCTCCATCTGTGGTTTGTTTACCATTATAGCCAAACCAGAATCCTTGGCTGGTGTCTTTTCAAACAAGCCAGTCCCAGCCAAGAAAAAACCACGATGCAGTCTGCTTGCCATCAGCAAACCCAACCCAACTTCCAACTACATTTTCACTGGTTTGGGAGCTACTTAGGGAACCAATTCTGATTTCACCATGGCGCTGAAAGCAGTAAGCTGAATTTCCCATAACTAAGTGTAGGATCTCAAGAATGGCTCTCAACTCCCAGAAGGGTTCATAGATTTTATTTCTTCTTTTATTTCACAAAAGCTCCCATCCTTGTGCTTCCCTACAAACTGCATTTGAAACAGGAGTCACAAAGTTGGGCCTGCAGTTCTAAGAGAAGAGGTCCAAACTCCACTGTGCACATCTGTTTGGATCCCTAGTGACATCCATCCAAAATTTAAGTTCTGTAAGGCATATGTTCTTTTTATGTTCTTCATCCAGAAATGCATCTGTTTCAAATAGGATTACACTGTGTCAAAAGCCCAGCTATTTTTTTTTACAGGCATTTTAAAATCACAAACATCAAGATGAGCCTTTTGATCTATTGGATGAATTCAAAGAGCAGTGGGACTCCAAGGTTAGATTTGCTTGGACGCAAACTTTTATGCAGCTCTCAGAATTATGTAGAGTTATATCCTATAGTATAACTGCCCAGCGTCACCCTCTAGGGGACATGGGCGGCATACAAATTTAAATAAATAAATAAATAAATAAATAAATAAATAAATAAAATAAAAAAAAAAAACGTGTGAATTCAGCCAAAGAGTTGTCAGCTGCTAAAAACATTCCCAGTTCCCTTCCACTGCTGGCAGTGGAGGTGCTGAAATATTTTAGAGATAGCAAGTTGTGTGTTTTTCCTTGGAACAAAGAAAACTATTTTCATTCCTTTTTCATAAATGAAATGAACACTGAAGGTCTTAGGGCTTTTCCATAGTTAAGGCATGGAGAGGACAATGCATTGTGTGGACCTAGACGTGAGCTCAGGATTTTGAATCTTCTCCAATGGGGTGTATGCAGATCCCTTTCAGATCTCCATGTCATGCAAAGGAAGGTAAACTTGGAGCACCCCTAGAGTCTGAATTACTCTAAGGTAGCTTTGGATCTTTCTGACCATACCCCACTGTGCAAAAAGCTTGGCTGATATTTTACTCAGAATCTAAAAAGCACTTTTAACTATACTTTAGAGCAGTGCTTCTCAACCTCAGCACCTTTAAGATGGGTGGACTTCAACTCCCAGAATTCCCCAGTCACCATGCATGGCAAACACTGCTTCGTTGTTAGCATGCATAGATTGTACTAAGTCAGAAAGGCTGGATTAACTTATGCACTAAAGCAAGGTTTGCTTAATGATGATTCAATTCCTAGACAGATCATGCTATGGTGAATCACAGTGTCAGAACTTGGCCAGCATGGTTGGTTGGTTGGGTGTTAGCTTAGCATGATGGGTGAACCCAATAAATTATGGCTTATTCTACAAAGTATGTTTAAACAAACCTTGGCTTAATGTGATGATGAGTCCAACCAATGGGTTCATACTGATCTGAAATGCATGTTTTCCAAGCTGGAAAAGGGGTGGGTTCTGTAAGGAAGGAGCCAAACCTTCAAGTGAGGGCTAAAGCAAAGAGAAGGTCAACAAACCAAGGCAGATGGTCACACTCTAGGCATCTTAGACAAGATTAGCCAATCCTGCAACTTCGTCTTCACATATCTTTCTGAGGAAGACTGTAGGTGTTATGGAGGTGGAATAGAAAGAGGTAGGATGAAATGAAAGGGGATAGGTCTTCCATCACATGGTCATGGCTGCCATATTGACTGTTTTGACCTTTCTCTGTGGATGCACCTGCTGAGTAGAGCAGAACAGAACAATGTGGATCTAGATCTTTTTGCGCCGAAGATGGAGGTGCATCAAACTACCCTAAATGCAACTATCCCACAGAAGGGACAAGATCATTGAGTTGCTCCCTTTCAAACCCTCTTTTCAAAAAACATTCTTTTCCTGTTCCTCAGGAAATCCAGAAGTCATCACTTGCTTTACTTTGGTTTTTTTACACATTTGTACCATTGCTTTTACTGCCTTGTTTTCCTGCAATTATGCATTCCTTGCTCAACAGTTCATAGAATGGTACTGTCGGAAGGAGAAAGTTAAGCCATCAGTCCCGTCCCTTGCTTAGTGTGGGAGTCAGGGATGTCCACAGGATGTGGTCAAAAAGGTTAAGATGGTAGGCTGACCGACGTGATTGAAGCTCCACCTTTTTTAATGCGCTTCAATCCAAATTAACGCATCCCAGACTGGCTTCTACTTGGACACCTCCAATAAATGGGAGCCCACCACTTCTGGAGGTCATGACTTCCACTACAAAGCTGTTCTTGCTATTAGAAATGTTTTCTAACATTCAATCTGAATCTGCCTTCCGGTCATTTCAATTGTTGACCTGTGCTCCTGCACTCTGGAATGAGAGGACAGGACTCGACCTTCTTTGTGTGAAGTGTATCTCCCTTCATGGGGCTTACCTCGTAATCCTCCGTCATCTTTGCAGCCCTTCCCTGAATCTCTTCCCATTTCTTTGAACCCATAAGAATTCAATGTCAAAAGAAATGGAATTTCAAAAGAAATGCTTCTTTTGGAAAAGCATCCTATTGTCCTCTCTGAGAGCTTCAGGTCCAACAAACACTGCTTGGTGGGAGCCCATGATGGAACATTGTTTAGTATCTATCCTATTTATATCATAGTCCAGTGTCATTCAAGGAAGCAAGATGAATGTGGAAGGCCATGTCTTTGCTCCTTTATGCTAACACAGGCCTGTAGGAGACATAGATGGTTATGCTCCTGCTTTAGATCTCTTGGAGCTGGCAGGGCTGCCTGGAAACCCTCCAGGGGATTCAGGGGTAAGTTCCTTCATGTGGCTGTTTCAGATTGCTTTAAAAAAAAAAAAAGTCCAAAAACTGCACACACATTTTGTCAACTATGCAGGAATGTTTGTTGCAAATGGAAAGGAGTGGTTTTTCACTGCCATGGAGCAATGTCACTGACCAGTGAAAAATAGCCTTACAATAAAAACAACAAATCATGGCTTTTTGGTATGCAAATCCCTTCCCCTCCATTTAGCTAAAAGGTGGAGGGAGAACTTTTCTGAAGCAGACACAATAGCTTTGAAGTCATTTCCACTAATAAGTGTTATAATGTCACTCAACTGGAACATACATTTTAGCACAATAGTAGAAAAAACCATAATTACCAGGAAAAAATTATCCTAAAAGTAGCTTGAGGGGGGAAAAAAGAAATCTAGGAGGGGGACTTGCACCAGAAGATTGGCTGAGGGTGTGTTGTTTGCTGAGCAAGTGAACTAGGTTGATCTCTGAGTCTCTGTAGGAAAGGGGAGTGACAACCTTTGTGTGTAATGCTTTGGAGTTCTTTGTAATTCCTGTTGTTGTTTTTCAACTTCCAAATTTACTCTGATTGTATGTGAATTTAGAACCTGAATAAGCAGTTCCAGCAGAATGAGATGGTAGAATCCTGGGTCGGAAGAGTTGTTTTGGACTCCATGCAAGAGCATCTTCAGGGAGTGGGGAAGGGCCACTCAAAAAAATTGTTCCAGGCATTGTGTGAAGGAGTGGGGCTTCAATCATGCAGTCATGGCTGCCATCTTGACTTTTTTGACCCTTCCCCATGCATGACCCGGACTCCAGATTCATTTTTAAATGCTCCTTTGTGTAGCAACAACAAAATGCCCTCCTTGCATTTAGAAATGTAGCTTAGTGGAAGGAACGCTGCCCATGTGATGCTAATGGGCTGAAGGATAATGGACATTGTAATCCAAGGCATGTGAATGTCACATATTGGAAAAAAGCTGTTGTAACCAAAAGTTCACTCTTCTAGAATTTTGAGTCTCTTCCAACATATTTCTCGCATATACTTCTCTATTCCCAGAAAGAAATACATAATTATTTGGATTCCAGTGATTGTTGCTGCTATTATTATTATGGTTGGTCGCACAGTCAGCCAGATGTTTAGACTGGATTTGGCATATTTATCTATTATTATTATTATTATTATTATTATTATTATTATTATTATTATTATTATTATTCAAACACATACACATCCTGGTGAAGCTCTTCTTTATCAGGACACAGAAACTTAGATGACCCATTAAAACCAATATTGGATTTCCTAATATCTGGTTTACAGGAGGGCTATAAATACAATCCAGAGCTTTCCACAACCTCCATCCATCCTTCATCCAGTTTGACAACTGTTCTTTTCTCTTTGAATAGCTGGCCACTTCTTACATGTCATTGCTTTTTAACTTTGTATTCCATGTTTCCTAAAAGAGGGAAACATATTTAGAGTGATCCAATTTAATTCTCACAACAACGTGAGGGCAGGTGGTAGCTCACTCAAGACTGTTGCTTATTAGGGTCAGTAAGATTGAAGCAGTATAGAAATTGAATCAAGGCATAATGAGTGAGTGAGTGATTGGGTGAAGATCATGTTTCATGAATAAGCCATGACTTCATGACCACTGTACACCAGGGTAAATTCAGAAGTTCACTTACCCATTCCTAAGACAAGAAGAATATGGACAACACCTTTCGGTCCACCATCTTCACAAGATCTCTTTCACCTCTGTCTGTTTTCCTCTGCTCTGCTCTGGACAAGAGGGGTTCCTGTGCGATCACAAGGGCAGAAAATCAAGATCTGAAATTATGCAGGGAATCTACACAAATGGAGAAAGATCCCATGAGTGATGTAATCCTGCTAATGTTCAGAGAGGCGAATACCAAAGTCGCAGGAGAGGAAGATGGGGCTAACAACAATGATTTTGCTCTTCCCTTTACAGTTTGTAACAATGGAGAGAATGAACTTTCTGAATGGTATCCCTGTTTACTTAGAAAGTTAATTAGAGTCACATCATGGGCTTTTTCTGTTGGTTTTATTCATTGGTTCTATTCATTCAAGATCCAGGTTTACACAACAGATCATCACAGAGGACAGCAAAGATTCAATGTGAGCCCAAATGGCATAAGTCAAACAGGGCACATCAACCTTCAATTTTCATTTTCTAGAGCAAAACTGAAACAGACCTTTTGCATTTAATCGCTTACCATTTCTCATGTCTTTCACTATGTTTCTGAATGATTTGTTCAAAGATGGAAAGATGGGCTATAAATTGGATTAACTCAGCTCTCCCTAGCCTGGTACCACCCTAAATTCCAAACTGGCTGATGGTCCAAATAGTTCCAACACGTTTGGAGGACACCAGCATGCACAAGTGTGAAATAATAATAATAATAATAATAATAATAATAATAGTATCATCATCCATTAGGTGAAAGTAACCATAAGAAGTTACAACCATCTGTAGATACTGTACCTTGGTTAAAATATTATAAGCTATTCAAAGATGCACTAAAAATCAGTTTTCCTCAATCTGGTAGCTGTTCAAAGTGTTAAAACTACAGCTCCCCAAATTCTCCACCCCAGCTGGGAATTCTGGGACTTGTAGTCCTAATTTCTCTGGAGGGCCCTTGATAGGGAAGGCTGCATGGATAGGGGTGTCACATCTGAATATGTTTATTGAAGCTCCACAGCGATAAGAAAACTCTTGGCTGGATCACTCATGCAGAATCCATTTCAACATTCTAGGGAATAAGGTATATTGCAATACTGAGTCTATCACTAGTGCCATTCGAAACGTGCCAGTTTGTGTTTCAATTTTTTGAAGGGCAAGATGAAAAACACATCTACCCATCTTGGTTCCATTATACCTTGCACAGGAAAAATCCATGAGTCTTCAGTGCCATTATGCCACGTGGTTGTAAGCAATAAGAAAGGTATCAATTCAGGCGAATAACTTAGAGTACTTATTTTCCTGCCTGTGTTTATCTCGTTTCCTCTCATTATTCTTTAAATGGCATTGGGGTCTCTGAGAAACGCTTTCGCATCCTTAAGCTTCTTGCAAGTATTTCACAAGTCTCGAGTACGTTGGGGAAAAAAGAGGTTGGGTCCCCAATGCTGCACATCTGTAGTCGTGCTGTTCTCTGAGCTTCCAGCCTCTCCTGGGGTGAACCAGTCTGCCTTTTGGAGATGCAGGTTTCGTGCCAGTGGTGGCACGCCTTTTGTGAGCATGTTCACAGCATCCTTCCAAACAGCATTTTTTGAAAGAAGCGTGTGTGCCCAGCCAAAAACACTGTCTATGCCGCTCCAGTGCAGCTATTATTTGGGATAATGCTGTTATGGGAGAAGGCTTTAACCTCCCTAAAAGCTTTGAGGAGAAGTTGAAAGTCCCACCTACCCTCTACTACTATGTTGTATCTCAAGGACCGGGCTCTTAGCTTCAGCTCTTGCATAAAAAAAGGAAGTCTTTCAACTGAGCTGAACATCTGATGACTTCATAGACATCTCCATCTTAATTTTTGGTTGGTTGGTTGGTTGGTTGTTACAGTACAGAAGTGATTTACTATCTTCTAGGATGTTTCTCAGCTTTTCACTCTAACGTATAGCCCTGAGATGTCCTGATGATCTCCCATCTGTGCACTAAGCTGATCTGGCCCTGCTTGCTTTTGCAAACCAACCAAATTTGGCAAGTGCTGGGTTTACCCCTTGCATACCATCCATTAAAAAGTGAAGTTGAAT